CCCTCCCCCCCACATATACCCTGACTGAGTTAGTTTTAGCCCCCCTAGATGGACAACATCCCCAGACCTGCCAAACCTCTCCCCCTTCGGTAGATCCACTAGCCCCTCCAGTCCCAGACTGACTGACTCAAATTGGGCTCCTGGCATGGCTGCTGGCACTGGTGAACATGTACACAAGGCACTCCTGATCTACAGTTATGCAACTTAAAGCAAGCTGTATTATTGTAGATTGGGTAGGGCAAATGTCTGCATGTACCCTAAGGGTAGGTGTGCCCTGAGTTTAGGGCAATCTATATGGCTGAGTGTGAAAGTGTTCACAGGGCTTAAGTCACCCTAAAAATGGTTCACCCAATCTAAAGTGGTATCTCATCCAATAAGAAGTCACTTTAGATTGGCATGAGTTAACCCAGTCTAATGAATGCTTGCATGGGTCCTCAGCACAGGTCTGGGACTGAGAAAGCCCAGTCACTCTCCCCAGTTCCAGGGCTATGCTATTTTAAGCCCCCTAACTCTGTCTGAGTTATTTTTATCCCCTTGATCAGCACACCTCTAGACAGCCAGGCCCTCCTGTGAACCCGTGACCCTCCTCCCCCTGCCATCTCAGACCTGCTACTCTCTGCTTGGTCCCAGCAGGCTCTGCCTCCAATCCTATCAGCCCCTCCCACCACCTGCTCTCATTTACTTACCTCTAGCTTCCCATGCTAATGCCTGCATGTGGCAAAACTTTACTCAGGTTTCAGTGGCTCCAAGGAAGCCTTATCCAAGGGGGGTCATCTTAGTGCTTGTTCACACCCTTAAGTGACACACTGCCCTGCCCTCTGCCTGACTTAAAACTAATGCAACTATTTCTCTCTACCTGAAAAAATTAAATTAAATAAAACATTGTCCAGAACAAAAGATAATATATGAAAAAAAAAAAAAAAGTTTAATTCAGAAGAAGATCCATTGGTGTTAATTCTCTGTGTGTAGGATTTGGCTGCAATAAAGTGGCATATGTTTTTCAGTCCTCGCAGAATAACATCTTCCTACCCATCACTCATCAGGCCTTGCCTGTATCTCCCTTTCAAACATCACAAGTACAGTATTGTTTCCTAGGTAGTATGCATATTTCTTTGAAATCAGGGAACTGGTTAAACAACAGACATCGCGTCATTTGCCTCCTCTGGCAAATTATTAACAAAATTATATTGTATGATAGGCTATCTGGCACCTGTTGATTCTGTGATGCAGTCCCTTCAACATTTATTGAGTTCTGCATTGTTCCTTAAACAGGATTTTTATTTGCTGAATTAGTAGCTTGTTTTAGAGACTTGACCTTCTTCTTTTCTCTTTTCCTTATCAGCAAATGTGCAGTGCATTTCAGCTTCTATTTTTGTGTAACAAATATGCGCTAGGTTTACCTTGACGGTTTTTTTACAACATTGGTGGAAGAAACAGCTTCTTTAAATAGGAAGAAAAAAATGTCTGTTAGTATTAATATTGCCTGATTCTGATCACCTTTACAGAGGTGCAGCACAAATTTACTTTACTGAAGTTGCACCTATTGTTTGCTACTGTTAGATCAGGATTAAGTTCTGAAGATAATTCTCAGGAGATGTGAAAACAGAGGTTTTTACTATTTGAAAGATAGTATAACAGAGAGGTTTTACTATCTCGAATATTTCTACTTGAATATTGAGATTGCTTTGCTTTACTCAGGAAATCCTAGAAAATAAGAAAGGACTCTTTAAAAAATGTCCTTGATTTGTCCTGGATATTCCACCCTTGCTTCCCTAGTTATGATACTGGAATCTGCTGGGGTAGGTATGTAAGGGTAGTAGAAACATGCTTTTAGAGATGTTTCTGAAGGTTGCGAGGAAAATAGCAAGGTTAAACAAAAAGGAAGTCAAATTTCTGGCAGGAATGATGCAACCCAAGATGCTTCCACATAGAATCAGCTGAAGCACATTGAGTAGTTCTGTGCTGGTAAACACAGGCAGATCTACAGATACTGTAATCTTGTTTGAAAATCGCATGTAAATGTTGATTTCCTTCCATATATTGAGTAAAT